TACGTCAGCGGCGGCACTGAACGCGGATCCACAACAGAACCGGAAGACACACACACACACACACACACACACACCAGACACACGTCAGCAGCGTCTTACGTCAGCAGCGGCACTGAACGCGGATCCACAACAGAACCAGAATACACACACACACACACACACACACACACCAGACACACGTCAGCAGCGTCTTACGTCAGCGGCGGCACTGAACGCGGATCCACAACAGAACCGGAATACACACACACACACAGACACACACACACACACACACACACACACCAGACACACGTCAGCAGCGTCTTACGTCAGCGGCGTCTTACATCAGCGGCGGCACTGAATGCGGATCCACAACAGAACCAGAATACACACACACACACACACACACACACACCAGACACACGTCAGCAGCGTCTTACGTCAGCGGCGGCACTGAATGCGGATCCACAACAGAACCAGAATACACACACACACACACACACCAGACACACGTCAGCAGCGTCTTACGTCAGCAGCGGCACTGAACGCGGATCCACAACAGAACCGGAATACACACACACACACCAGACACACACGTCAGCAGCGTCTTACGTCAGCGGCGTCACTGAATGCGGATCCACAACAGAACCAGAATACACACACACACACACACCAGACACACGTCAGCAGCGTCTTACGTCAGCGGCGGCACTGAACGCGGATCCACAACAGAACCGGAAGACACACACACACACACACACACACACACCAGACACACGTCAGCAGCGTCTTACGTCAGCAGCGGCACTGAACGCGGATCCACAACAGAACCGGAACACAATACAATGCTGAATAAAGTCCTAGTTTTTGTTATCTTTGGACCAAAATGTATTTTCGATGCTTCAAAACATTCTAACTAACCCACTGATGTCACATGGACTACTTTGATGATGTCTTTATTTCGTTAGGAAAGTGCTTTAGTAATGTGAGCCTATAGGCGGGTCCACAACGCGCGTACACTCTGCTTATTACACACACACTCTGCTTATTACACACACAGAACACACAAACATGCCAAATATTAAAAATAAAAGGATTACAATGTAAAAGATTCATATTTTGTACATAAAGATATTGTGGAATCCGGCTTGAATAGGGACAACCCTTTTAGACCATTTTTCCCGTCGTTAAACTAGCAAAAGTGGATTCGGACGCCCTAAGTGCACTTGTGCCGTGCTCTTTAGACCATGAGCTTAGATCGTTAAAATAGGGCCCTAAAACTCCAGTTTCTACTCTAAATCATCTCTCCACTAGCCTGGGAAAACCCAGACAACTTCTGGCAAATTTAGATTTGCTCTGAAAGTTAGTCTGGCAAAGAGCTCATTCAAGCCCATTTCCAATCCGCCGAAATCGCGGCACCAATCAGAAACGTTGGGGCGGGCTTTACACGATGACGACAGCGCTGGGATTTTGAAGCAGATTTTGTACATTTACAAAGATGGATGCCGCCGTGGAACTAGGGGTGTGACGGTTATAGTTGAACACCGTCATTAGAACTCTATAACCGCCAAAACCATGTTATTAAAATATTTTTTTCACAAACATTTTTTATCATAGAGAATGTTTAAATACTAATATCAGCTTACGAGGGAAACGGAGGCGGAGTTAGTGGTGCGATCGGAGGCTGAGTGCTGGAGATGATTCGGGAGAGGTCTGTGCCCCTTTACCGATCAGAGCTGACACGGAGTAAAGCCTTGTTTATACTCGACGCGTCCGCACGAGCGAAGGTGCGAGCGGCAAAAATGACCGGCAAGACCCCATTTCGCTTAGCTGTGTGCACGGCTTTTTTTTGTAACAGCGCGCGCGACGCCGCGTCTGAGGATGAACGACTTCTAGCCGAATCTGTCCGAGCATGTAGGCTACGTCTCACCGCACCGGCTCGCAGTTTGCGCGTCTAAATTGCAAAGTTCATTACAAAGTTTTATTTGTTAAGGTTTTGTTTACGGTGTGTGATTTATTTAATGGAAAGCACATTCACTTCCAGTTGTCTTGCTGTTAATTTTAAATAAACGTAGAGCAAGTAGCTAATCATGTCTGCTCGTTTATTCAAACTAAAGCCTAGTTCACACTACATGATTTTAAAACGTCGGGCTGAACTGTGCGGTTCACACTACATGACTTGCTCTCTGTGAAATCAGGAGTGTTCAAGTTGTTGAGCTGTTCACACCACACGACACAACGTGATTGATCCGCAACAGGGGGTAACGCACTACACGAGTTGACAACAACTCTGTCACCCAACGATTCTATCTTGTCTACAAACCACGTTTTGTCACGAAAAATCACGCGATAAAACGAACCGGAAATGACGCGAAACAGCACTCGCGCCAATACCCAGAAGAAGAACACAACACGCGAACATGCCTCGCTCTGATTGGCTGTAGCTCATGACATCACGCGAGCTTGAGTCGTGCGACAGCTCTGGATATCTAGCATGCTAGATATTTTTCTGGGCTCAGCG